AAAGAAAAGAAAAGAGTGCTTTGGTCTTGGCGCCTGTGGCTCAGCGGCTAGGGTGCCAGCCACATACACCGGAGCTGGTGGGTTCAAACCCAGCCTGGGCAACTATAACCAAAAAAAAAAAAAAAAAAAATTTACACAGGCGTTGTGGTGGGTGCCTATAGTCCCCAGATACTTAGGAGGCTGAGGCAAGAGAATCAATGAAGCCTAAGAGTTTGAGGTTACTATGAACTGTGATGCCACAGGAGAATCACTGAAGCCTAAGAGTTTGAGGTTACTATGAGCTATGATGCCGCAGCACTCTACCCAGGGCAACAGCTTGAGACTTTGTCTCAAAAAAAGAAAAGAAAAGGGTGCTGCGGCCTCTTCTGCCTTCCTGAGTACCATCCCCCTGTCCTCTTCTGAAGCTGTGTGGATATCTGGTGACCCTGTCATTGCCCAGGACACCTCTGTGCTGGGAAGTAGGCATCCTTTCACAGCCTGCCTCACCATCTTCTCTATTCCTCCTGTGTCAGGGGTAATATGATATATTGATTTGGATTATTGGCTCTGATGACAATGTTTGAATGCGTTTGAATGTCAGTTTTGCTTCATGCAAATTGTGACCTTAGTCAAGTTAATCTATCTAAGCCTCAGTTTGCCCACATGTAAGAGGGTAACAGTAATACCAGTCTCATAAGGTGAATGTGAATTAAATGAGATAATATTTAGCTTGGCGCCTGTTTCTTAGTGGTTAGGGTGCCAGCCACATACACCGAGGCTCGCGGGTTCAAACCTGGCCCAGGCCTGCCAAACAACAACGACAACTGCAACAAAAAATAGCCGGGTGTTGTGGCAGGCACCATAGCCCCAGCTACTTGGGAGGCTGAGGCAAGAGAATCGCTTAAGCCTAAGAGTTTAAGATTGCTGTGAACTGTGATGCCACAGCACTCTACCCAGGGTGACACAGTGAGACTCTGTCTAAAAAAAAGGGCGGCACCTGTGGCTCAGTGAGTAGGGCACCGGCCCCATATACTGAGGGTGGTGGGTTCAAACCCAGCCCCAGCCAAACTGCAACAAAAAAATAGCCAGGTGTTGTGGAGGGCGCGTATAGTCCCAGCTACTCAGGAGGCTGAGGCAAGAGAATCACCTAAGCCTAAGGCCTGGAGGTTGCTGTGAGCTCTGACACCACAGCACTCTACTGAGGGTGATAAAGTGAGACTCTGTCTCTTAAAAAAAAAAAAAAGAGAGAGAGATAATATTTGTATGTGGCCAGACTTGGCACCATGTTTGGCGTGCCTCCCACCCCATCTTGCTCCATTCTTCTTCTGACCTCCAAATAGAGGCTAGTTCCATCTCAGCTAAGGACAGAGTTCAAGTTCTTGAGCACGTGTGCATACCTGGAAGCAACACTATATTAGATGCTGGGAGTCCTGAGTCTTGGTTCCGGTTCAGCCATCATCTGTGTGTTTTTGCTCAAGATTCTTAATCTCTCTGAATTATAATTTCCTTATTAATACAATGAAATAAACGATTCAAAATATTTCTCCTGTTTCTAAAATACTATGTATATTAGTAATGTTCCTTTTTCATAAGCAATAAAACTGAACTCTGGATAACTTAATTTTAAAGAGTTTTCTCCTCTATAAAGGAAGCCTCTCACTTAGAAGCCTCAGCTCTTTGCTACACCAAGTTATATATCATTTCCGCATTATTGTTTCCTCTTTAGATCTGTGAAGTCCTGGAACACTCCCTCTCTCCATCTCTGAAGCTGACTCCTGCTTCAAGCACCCACCCTAACCTCCAAGCCTATCTTCAAGGCAACACCCAGGTCTCTCGAAAAAAACTTCTGCCTCTGCTCCAGGAAGCCCTGTCAGTATATTTTGACTCCACAAAGACCTCTTCAGGGCAGCCTGAGACAGTGGTTGTGTCCCGGGAGCAGATGGACAAGGAATTTGACAGGGCAAATAACTCCTTGATTCCTGGACTCAGTCAAGATGAGGAGGACCCACCACTACCCCCCACACCCATGAACAGCTTGGTGGATGAGTGCCCTCTGGATCAAGGACTGCCTAAACTCTCTGCAGAGGCTGTCTTTGAGAAGTGCAATCAAATTTCCCTGTCACAGTCTGTCACTGCCTCCCTGGCAAAGAAGTGACTGTGGGGAGGGGAGGGGATGATGGGTGAGGTTACATGACCTACCCTCAAATGCATGTTTTGAGATGTGTGGAGATTCACCAATTCTGTCTTCATTGCTCCAGAATCTGTAACCTGTTCTTGTAAGCTGGGAAGAGAAAGAAGTGATAGAAAGCAGCTGCTGTAAGAATGGCTTTCTACCTTTTTCCCCAAGACAGATGCTATTACTTACATCTGTACTGACTTCTCTCTATTTCATTTGCTAGGGGCACAATATGATACACCTACACTCCCAGCAGAGGGGGACAAAAAGAATGTAGACCCCAAAAGTAAGGACATTGAACAGAACCAGTATCTGTCATGAAACTAAACCTTTATTGATTGTCCCCATGTAGTCACTTATTTAAGTATTTATTGAATACCTGCTTCAAGTGAGGTAGAAAAGAGAATGTGCTTTGGAAATTCTTATTCCAATTTTTAGCCTCTAGCAGATTCCCAGCTCCATGACTGTTCTTAGTGCCACTGGTTAGGTGATATATTTGATTCATGGAAGAATTTCTATTCTGAGCTTTTTGTGACTATTTTAGGTCCTGTTTGGGAGCAGATTAGAAGCCATTGTCTTCTATCCTGATCAATGGCCTGGCTCTCTGTTCCTTTAGACCCCTCTGTCCCAGAAACAGGAACCTTAAAGAGACCCTGAAGACCCCTGATTCTTTTTTTTCTTTTTTGTTTTTACAATTTTTTTGGCCGGGGCTGGGTTTGAACCTACCAACTCTGGCATATGGGGCCGGCGCCCTACTCCTTTGAACCACAGGTGCCGCCCTTTTTTTTTTTTTTTTTTGCAGTTTTGGCCAGGGCCGGGTTTAAACCCACCACCTCCGGTATATGGGCCAGGTGCTCTACTCCTTTGAGCCACAGGCGCCGCCCAAGACCCCTGAATTTTTTTTTTTTTTTTTTAAATAAGAATCTCACTTTTTTCACCCTCTGGAGAATGCTGTGGCATCATAGCTCACAGTAACTCTCAACTCTGGGGCTCAAGTGATTTTCTTGCTTCAGCCTCCCAAGGAGATGGGACTGTAGGCACTCGCCTCAGCACCCTGTTATTTTTTTTGTTTTTTTCAGAGATGGGGTCTTGCTCTTGCTGAGGCTGGTCTTGAACCTGTGAGCTCAGGGCAATTCACCTGCCTCGGCCTCCCAGAGTACTAGGATTACAGGCGTGTGCCACTGCACCCAACCAAGACCCCTGATTCTTAAGACTTCAGGTGGCACCTTAAGACCTCATAGGTGCTCTTCCGAAAGATGGCAGAACTGGAAAGAGTCTTGGGTCTGTCCCTTGCCTTAGCAGGTCTATCAGTTCCTTTTTTGAGACAGTCTCACTATGTCACCCTAGTAGAGTGCTATCACATCACAGCTCACAGTAACCTCAAACTCTTGGGCTAAAGCAATTCTCTTGCCTCAGCCTCCTAAGTAGCGGGACTACAGGCGCCCTCCACAAGCCTGGCTACTTTGTTGTTGTCATTGTTTTTAGCAAGCCTGGGCTGGGTTCAAACCCACTAGCCCTGGTATATGTGGCTGGTGCCCTAACCACTGGGCTACGGACGCTGAGCCTCAAGTGATTGTCTTGCCTCAGCCTCCCAAGTAGCTAAGACTATAGCCACCAGCCACAGTGCCCAGATATTTTTAAAGACAAGGTCTCGCTCTTGTTCAGACTCGTCTTAAACCTGTGAGCTCAGGCAGTCCACCTCCCTCGAGTGCTAGGATTACAGGTGTGAGCTACCCTGCCCAGCCAGGTCTATCAATTTCTTGTCCATTGCTTTCTCTTCTTGATCATATTAAAAAACAGATCTAATACTGCTACAAATGGTTTTTTTGGCAAGGCACATCAGTACTCTAGGTCTCACTTCACCTATCTGTAAAACCGGGTTTACGCTTACCCTGGAATTCTGTGATTTTCCTCTTGCTGCCATTCTTTCTCTTCTCTGCTTCTCTGTATTTTTCTTCTGTTTTCCCTGGGAATGTTCAGGGTGGCTGGATTGTCTGTATTTATGTGTGATTGTACCCAGGGACTCAGTCTCATGTAGCATGTGTAGGAGTGTGATTAGAGGAGTGTGATTCGCACTGTAGTGGCCCAGCAGAGAGCTCCCTCCCACTGACTTGTTCTGCATGTAGAGTCTCCTTTTTTTCTTCAGATAAACCCATTCCTCTTTTCTTACCCCACAGCTTGATTTCCATGTAAGTTGCTGACAATTTCACTAGTGGGGTATGTGGTGGCTTTGGCATGCCACTTTCCAGTATGAGGGAGACAGTCTGACTTCACTTTGAGGATATGTCTCTAGCCATTTGGAAGGTGAAAATAGTGAAATAGTGATGTGATTGCTGAACCAAAGGAATTTGTTTTGTAACTTGGGTACTTTATTTTGCATTTTGTTAAAGTATTAAATACTTTTTCTGTTTGGGAATCCTGCTGTCTCTCTTTTTTTTTTTTTTTTGAGACAGAGCCTCAAGCTGTCCCCCTGGGTAGAGTGCCATGGCATCACAGCTCACAGCAACCTCCAACTCCTAGGTTCAAGCAAGTCTCCTGCCTCCGCCTCCCAAGTAGCTGGGACCACAGGCGCCCACCACAACACCCGGCTATTTTTTGGTTGCAGCAGTCATTGTTGTTTGGCGGGCCCAGGCTGGATTCAAACCCGCCACCCTAGGTGTATATGGCTGGCGCCCTAGCCACAGGAGTGGCTGTCTCTTTTTGACAACAACAGAGTCTTCCCAAAGTCACCTCTAAAGTTGCCATAGATAGAAAAATGGGAAATTGTAGCTAAATGTACCTTTATTTACAAAATATTCATTACAAATTTTTTTTTTTTTTTAGAGACAGGGTCTCACTTTGTCACCCTCAGTAGAGTGCTATAGCATCACAGCTCACAGCAACCTCCAGTTCTTGGGCTTAGGCGATTCTCTTGCCTCAGCCTCCCAAGGAGCTGGGACTACGGTCACCCACCACAATGCCCGGCTATTTTTTTTGCAGTTTGGCTGGTGCTGGATTTGAACCCGCCACCCTTCTCACTGAGTCACAGGGGCCACCCTCATTACAAAATTTTACAAAATATTCTCTGTGTTAGCTACCTTCTTGTATAATCAAGCCTTTTTAGCCTCCTAAAGATTCATCTCCCTTCTTCCTGTGCTACCTAATGTCTTCCTCCTCTCAACTATTTTTGGGAATAGAAGCAACAGGCTTGTATCTCCCCTCATCTTCAGCCTTTCCTCTAGTTTATTTCTTCTTCCAGAACATCTGTCTCCCCAGTTTTGCTTATGTTGAAAAGTAGGCCCAAAATAATCTTACAACCAAAATGTTTTCCACTATTTTTTTTTTTAAAGAGATCAGCTTTTCAGAGGGTTATAAGGAATCTAGAAAGGGGAATGAATTCCCTTCCTAGGCTCACCCAAAACTAGCCACCCTAGAAAATGCACTCTCCTCCATACCCTTATAGGGAGGCAGGGTTTTTCTTTTGGGCAAACCTGCTCCTCGGGAGGGGAGGTGGCAAAACCTGTTTGAAGATGAGGTTACCTCCCTTCCACACCTCTCTCCTGGGAGGCACAAGCAAAAACAGCTGAGACCGAAAAAGGGTAAAGGAGTGTTGGGGGCTGGGATACCCAGCTTCCCAACAACTCTTAAGTGTTTAAGGAAGACAGGAAGGAAGACTTGTGAAGATGGGGACAGTGCAAGAGGCAAGAAAAAAGACTTTAAATCTTGGGTAAGTAAGAGCTTGGCTCACTTGATTGGAAATGGAGAGAATAGGCTTGAGGTACTTCCCACTATTCAGCTCTTACCAGGTCAAATCTCAGGGGTTCGTCAAGCAGAAAATACTGTAAGAGAATCCACTTGTAGGGAAAGGATGGAGTGGCTGTTAAGTAGAAAATATCAGTATGGTATGGAACTGAGGCATGGCATTCCAGGATAGTTCCTGGTTTACAAGTAAAGGAAGTTTCTGTTTTGTATCTGGTAAATATGCCCACATTCTTTATTTTCTAACCCTCATCCCCCAGGCTGGCCATTGGAAAAAGCTGACCCAGAATTGAGTTCAGATTCAGGTTCTTCCCAGCAGATGGTTCTCGCCTTCTTTCCCTACCCCCCACCTATGCCATGTTCTCTCCTAGCCACTCCTCAGCATGGTGGAGGACAGGCAGGCCTGATGAGGGGTCATCTTTCCCAATTTTGCCCGGTGATAGTTGGGTGGGTCTGCCTGAGTGGTTCCAGCCAATTATAATGTTTGACATCTCTCAGCCTGACTTCTAGGTGGAGCAATGGCCATAGAGGCAAATATGATTAGCTGTACATTTCGTTGCTCCTCTGCTCCTAAGTCCAAACTAGGTAATCTGCTTCTAGCAAGTAGCAAAGGAGGGAGAAACATCTGTATAGGAGATCTGAATTCCTTTTAAAGCCTGCACTCTGCTCTGTACCTTAATTATTGTTCTTCACTCCAATGTTTCCATTATTCTTTTTTTTTTTTTTAAAGATGTAGAATTTTTATTTATTTTTTTGTTGTTGCAGTTTGGCCGGGGCTGGGTTTGAACTCACCACCCTCGGTATATGGGGCTGACACCCTACTCACTGAGCCACAGGCACCACCC